AGGTGCTGGCCAATTAACTGAAGGTCAGATCTAGAATCAGGAGTGACAATGCATGGACAGTGCTGGTAGTGGAACAGTGGACCAGTTCTTTACCCTTCAACAGTTGTTGGGGGGTGTCATGGCAGTTTGCCCATCCAGCGTACATGTCGTGTTTGTTGTTCCTTGTCAAGCAGTGCGTACTATGAACAAACAAACGTGTTTCCGCCCAGTTTCGAACTGGGGACCTTTCTCATGTTTTGTGGACTTGAAGAAGGCCCACGACAGTGTCCTCTGGCATGTGGCGGGGTCAGTGCATGTTGCACAGTTGTTGGGGGCATCACAACAGTTTGCCCGTCCAGTCTACATGCAGGGGTCCATCGTGTTTGTCCCTTGTCAAGCAGTTCTCTTTGTGAACAAACAAAAGGAGTCCATTACATCAGTTGTTCCCAACTGGTGGTTCGCCGTCCAAAAGTGGGTTGCACGTGCATTCTGAATGGACCGCAAGTGATGCGCAAACTTGTCAAGTTTGTAAAAAAACACACTTTATTTTTAAGTGCAGTAAATTTCCGGCACAGAGCTTTCATTTTGAAGTACCATTTCCTGTTGTAGAGTGAATGACACTCAAGTATTTGACAGAGACGGCAAACTTACTTGACAACATAGCCAAATGCAAGTGTGACACTGAATGTATTAAACTGTGCGGACCTTTAACTCATGACCTAAGCTGAAATCTGGACCATGTGGCTGGACCAGTTGCAAACCACTACAGTACATCATATAAGGTCCTGTAATACTCCTTATTGTTTTCCTTTTTATGAAGCACCAGCATTAAGATAACTGTAGTCAAACATAAGACAAAACGTGCTGGGGGATCAACATACCCTGATCTCCATAGATATTGTGGTATTACATTTAACAGCCTATTTGTGTTTCTATTCACATTCACTTCTCTGGTCTACCAAGTTTCTGAAATACTAAGCGCACTATTGTTCCTTCACAGTTTATGAAGAGTTGATTTTGACTGTATACATTCATAGTGGTTTAAGCATGCACCACTGATTGATTAAAAGCCATTTATTCTTCCATAGTGAAGCTTTGCTGAGCACAGAGCTAAAGCTAACAAACTGTTATGTCAATCCATAGCAAGATAAGATAGCAGAGTGGGACCTGAGGGAAACCTCAACAAAAGGTAACAGGAGCAGTTATGATATAATACTCAAGTCTAAAATTTATATCTGGAAATGGGTTCTTAACAAAGGACAAGTGATTTGCAAGCAGGGTCCTGTTTGTCATGACCCACCTCACTTCATTGCATCTTACCTTCCCCACCGGACCAATATATGGCTACTTTAAATCACAGTATATTAACCCATCATTTATTCATAAATCCACACTGAGAGCACATGGACACAATGTGTTATTCTGGACACTCATCCTGGAGTTCACCACTTAGCTGGTCAACAAGTCTACAGTTGAACAAATTGCAAAAAACAACAAAAGAAAATACTGTAAACCTTTATTTTATGCTGCAACGTTTGTACAGATAAGCTTTTTCCAGCCACTGTCACAGATGTGATTCATCCTCACTGACAACCTGCTGGACCTGGTTACTTCTCATTCATTGTTGTCATATGTCCAAGTACATCCAACTTATTGCTTTCCACTCAGACTGCCAACCAAGAGACAAGTTTGCCACCATAATAATAAGAGAAAAAAAAATATCGCCATAATTTGTCCTGGGCATATAGGTGGGTGGCATCCCTGGTATCAAAAATAATTTCTTTCTGATCAGGTCAAAACATGTTACAGACCATCTGACATTTGTTTAAATACAATTTGAAGTATTTTCCAGAAACATGGCAGTTCTAAGTGTAAACATAACTACAGTGGTCAAAATTATGTAGTTAATTAAAAAAACCAAACAAATAAAAAGCAATATTAAATAGCTAATGAGAAACATAACTATGATCACTACTCACATTTTTACTGAAAATAACAGAATTTTAAAACAAAACAAAACAAAACAATATTTACATATTATTCAGTCAGCACAGCATAAAAAATGCTACCTATTCTAGTTAATTATTGCTACTGATGTACTCATCTACAGCTGCACAGGCATAAAAACACATTTTTGGGTTTGCAAATGCAGTTTGTAAATGCTAACACAGTCAACAGCTCTTCATGTTGTCACAGTATAAACTTCATTAAAACTGCCATTGTCATTTGACTAGGCTAAAGCTTAAATAGGTTTCAACCAAATTCATGTGGCAGTGGTGGGAAACTAACAACCAGTTCATAATAGAGAATATGCTCAAGAATCTAGCAGGACAAAATACAGATGGTATCAGCGCCCTATAAATGCAGGAAATAAAAGCAGTTTGGAAGGGTTAGGTTTAGGCATGACAAGTTTGATGCGGATGGATGCCACTTGTTCATTAAAACGTGGTAACATCATTATTGAAATGAAAAACAGTCTAACTCATTTTACTTCCTTAAGCAGTGACATCACACTCATAATTACACACAGAGGAAGAACTGCAGAGTGAGTGAACCTGAGGTAGCAAAGCCAAATCAAATACACTTTGGGATTTAAAATATAAGAAAAAAAATATGCCTTAAAACATTAGTGCATTTTTCTTGAAACCTCCAAAATCATTTTACACTCTCAAGTCAAAACTACATATCTATATAAAATTATACACAACAAAATTATTCCGACAAAACTCATCTAATTCATCTTTCTGACAAATTTCTGGGTCCTGAGAAAGAACATGAGTCCTCGTTCCACTGTGCAGGTTATAAAAAAAGTAGCATTTTTAATCCCATCCTTCACAATATACACAAGCAGTATAATTATAATAGGAAGGCGTACTTACAAAATTTTTCAGAATAGCCAAGCTGATATTGTAACATTTTGAATTTGGGAGCAAAGAGTAAAACTTACCAAAATTTTTGCAAATAGTAAGATATTCTTTAAGTATAAAAACAAATGTGTATGTACAAAAATATACATCCCAACAAGACATTCCTAGCAGAGGCATTTTTGTCTTTCCCCCCCAGATTCTGCACACTTTTAAAGTCTATATTTTGAGTATTTTCTATTAAAAAAGGCAATTCTTCAAATAGTACACAATACCAATGAGTGTCATTTTTTTCTTCCATCAAAAAAAAAATTAAAAAGTACTGTAGCTCCTTCAGTCCAGAGACAAGATTTTAATTATCTTGGTTCAAAAAAGTCCAATCAGTCAATTCATATTTGTTTTTTGGATTAAGGTTTTTTGTTGTTTTTTTTTGGTGAGACTTCACAGTCATAATAATTGTGTAAAAGGCCTCAGCTCGGGAGTGTCCAGCGGCAGGTGCCTCAGTAGACACAGGGAATGATCCGGTACCGAACAGTTCGGCAGTACTCGTCCCACGCTGAGCCGTACTTCCTCCTGCACTCGCTCATGTCGCGGGAGTCTCGGTGCACGAGCAGGATGATGAAGTAGATCATGTAGTACCACGGCAGGAGGTGGTTGAAGCCTACAGGTGTGGATGGTAAAAACATTTTTATCTGACTGAATTCATTGATTAAAAACAAAAACATACAATTTGCTGTAATCTGTTCATAGCATTGTTGCATTGTTATTAAAGTTCATATTCTCTGGAAGTTTAGTCCCACAAACCCCTGTTCTTTTCGCATGTATGGTTTACTTTATGTGTTTTTTGACCGGTGGATACATCCAACTACACAAAACAGTTTATTTCTGGTTATGGTTATGCCAGGAAGTCAGACTACTGTCTAAATCTTAGTGGCATTTGTCATCTAGGATAAATGATGGTGATGCTTGTAAGTTGGCCTGCGATCAGAGCCCCATCTGCACATCAAATCCATCTTTGTTTCCTTGATTCAGTTTGACATCATCAGAATCAGGCTTCTGCAAAATACCCATGTTAACTTTTGTGTTAATGTGCACCCTCTCCTGTCAACAGTTGAGTGCTTACATGTTTCCTTGTAATAAAATAAATCATGACATGATATTTCATTGTGATGGTCGGTGTGGGACTTGCATGTTTCAGCCACAAGAGGTCAGTGCAGCAAAGCTTTTCCTCCACACCATTTGGAGTCGCTGTCTTAATGCAACCGTAATAACCACGTAACTACAGGACAGTAAGTACTGACACCATGCAGGACTAGACCACATTTACATTTATTTAGATTTGATTTGTATGTTCTTAATATGTTACCACTTGACTGCAAATGTGGTAATTGTGAAGATTGTTGTGTTTCCACATAGAAATGTGACTACACAATAACCGAATGTGGATTTAAGGCACTGCTTTATATTTACAGTTGCAGCTCTGTGCCTTGTAGACATTTTTCCCTATAGATGCCTGGACTCTGACCATCGTTATTAAACAGTCAGGACCTCATTATATGGAGAGAACTGTCTTTACAGAGGAGCTGATGTGATGGACATGATTTTTACCTGCCCCTTACAGCCCCACTGACAGCATATGATCATAGATTGCTGTTCTTTCCCAGTCCTCTGGCACACTGTTCATTTACCTGCAAGTGTCATCCTGCGCCTTGACTCATGAAATTAGTAATCTTGGTGTTTAATTACTTGTTATGTGAATGTGAAACTCACCACAGGGTAGAGACCAGGCCAGAGCCATCAGAAGGTCTCCCAGGTAGTTAGGGTGCCGCACCACACCCCACCAGCCAGACACCAACAGACTCTTCCCTGTGGCTGTGGGGATAGTCTTCAGATCTGGAGAGGATAGAAAATCAAACGGACACAGGTTACCAGAGAAAAACAAATGGACCAAAACAAAAAAGAAGGGAAAAAGGTGCAATCTTTTATTTCAGCGTGTCTACCTGTATCAAACAATTACATTTCATTTTTTAAGGTATGTTTTTGACAAATTGAAGACTATTGTTTTGACAAATAAACTTTTTCTTATTTAAGTGTTGCACATATGGATACAGGTGTATCTGCATGTATATGTAGTTCCATGCAGAGGTAGGTGTTATGTAGTAATATGGTTATTAGAGTGAATTAGGTTAAAGTCTGGGTAAAGCTAAATAAATTTGTGCAATGAGTCTGTCACACCACAGCAAAATGTGATATTAAACACCCAGCCAAATTTGAATGATTAATGAAAGTTGCCAAGTACATAAAATTATGTTTCAAAATCATGAAGACATAGGGAGTATTCTCTGCTCTGAAATGCTGAATGTGCTGGAGCCATGCCCACTCATGGGACAGCTGCAGCCTCTTTTTATTATAACACTACTATAAATGCCCCAACTAACAGCAACTTGCAGCCATACTTGTTTGAACCACCAGAGCCAGAATCAAGGGCGCAGCCAGGAGGACACTGACCTACCCAAAGAAAGTCACAAAGACTGCTCAACTGGCTAGTGTTTCAATAGTGACAGTGACTAAACTAACATGCATTTTGATATATGAGAAAGACATCATTGCATAGGGTTGGACATTGTGGTTGGCAGCGCACATTTGTTGACTTTGATGCTTGTGCAATACAAGCGGCACACTCTGGTGCTGAAAAGTGATGCCAATGCGGAAGTGCCAAATACTGCCGTTCCACCCAGGCCAATTGAGGCTGGGTCCAAAAGCAAGTCAATCCCCATAGAGCCCCATGTAAAAAGGCCAATAAAAACATGTGTAGGGGGACAAAGTCATCTCATCACATAAACATGACAACCAGCTTTGAGCCTGCAGAAGAACTTACAAGACAGTTTGGGGTCTGAGGGGTTTCTTCTGAAGTTGTTCTTCTCAGAGTTGGATTTTCTGAAGATGTAGAAGCCAATGACTGAAAGACAGAGACACCGAGAGAAAACGTAAACATCCACCCTCAAACTGTGAAAATAAAATGTGGACTGTAATATTAACGTCACCTCTTTGGAACTAAACAACAAGTCTTTTTATCTTATCGAGCAGCCATATATGACAATAAAGTAAGAACTAGTTATGTAATCAAACAATCCAAATCCTCAACCAAGATGGTCAACAACTTCAGTTTGATGTTCTGCCTCTACTTACGCTTGAGTGTGACGATGGCAGCGAGGACAGGGAGGCTCAGGGGGTTGGGGTGGCTGACCAGGTAATAGGCCTGCAGGGTGTAAGTGAAGGGAACCCACACCAGATCACCAAATGCCAACATGAAGCCAAAACCATCGTGCATCAAGTCCATGGTGGTCAGAATGGCCTCCTGAGGAAACAAAAAGACACATTCAGCTCTCATTTCTTTTGTTATGCAAGCAAAGATAGATAGGTCTCAAAGTTATTTACTTGATCATATATGTTATAATTTATTTTACTTGTCAATGTGTTTTATCAAAATCACTCTGAATAACATTTCTGGGAAAATCTCCATGTTACAGCACATTTTTGGCTTGTGTTCTGCTGAGCTTACCTCATTCCAGAGACCGTCCACCACGTAGAGCAGCTGGAAGAGGTTCACAAGGATCATGGAGTAAGATGGAGCCTCCAGATTCTGCTTCTTCATCTCAGCCAGCGCCATCGCAAAGTTGATCAGACACTGTATAAGGACACACAAAGAAAATCCAAAGTCATTATGACTGATTATTAATAATCCATAATGCTGTCTAGCTATTTGTGGAGGTACATGCCAAATCTCATTCAAGGTCCTAAAGAAACCAATGAGCGCAGGCCTGATGCTGCATCGTAATAACATCTAAAGCCCACATACGTTTCAGGATTGAAGCCTTGACAAATTCTTTACATTGTTGAAAACCTTCCAACAGTATAAAGCCGTCACTGCACTGGGCATCTAAAAATCTTCAATCACAGTGACCCATGTTCACAAGCTGTTGCTCTAAGTGCTTTAAATCCAAGCTCAAAGACTGCATTAGCCTCGTAGCCACAAGCTGTCTGAGGTGAAAAATATACTCCACGTATGGCCACCACAGAGTGCAGTGTGTGTAGAAAATGACAGGCCACACTGCAACAGATAAGGTGGCACTTTCATAAACTCTGCAAAGAGGTGTTGTATACAATACAGCACATTTTTTAAAAATCAAGACACAGTGACTTCAAGTCAATACAACTGGCTGTGAAATACAAAAAGGTCTGTTCTGCTTTGTGCCTGTTCAGCAGGACGTTCAGTGTGACAGTGACATTCACGTAATACAGTACAATAACTTACTACACTAACGGTAGATCAGAAATGTGCAACAACATTTTTTGCTGACAGTATGAATCATCAAAATCCAGAGGCTGTGTTGTATTACATTGCTGTAGGCTGTAAATTTGCCACTTCTACACAGAAGGCAGAAAATAGTATCTCAGAGCCTCACAGGGCGAAGCCTCTCTTCTTCAGCATGAAAGTGAGAAGTCCTAACTCTGCAGCTAACTCATGAAGTGCACTGCACACCAACTTGAAGCAATCTCACTTTAAGTGCTCACAAACTGTATTTTTTAGATGAATATTTGGTGTCCCGTGACGACTCACCCAGCCAATCAGACCAGGGCGCATCTCGCAGAAGAATTTCAGATCAAAGTCTTTGATGCGGGGATTGAGCTCATGTCCTTTGAAAAAGTCATAAACCACATTGCCTGGTGAAACAGAAAGAGAGAAAAGAAATCAGATAACTGTAGAAAATAAATGAATCCAAGAGGCAGAACACAATGTATGTAAATGGTGAGTAGGTAACTCTTACCAGAGTTTCCCCCCAGTGCCAGCTGCTCTGGGGCAGCATATCGAGAGCGGACATACAGGTAGATGCTGAGCAGGATGGAGATGAGGAAGGTGGCTGTAGCCAGCTGCAGGAAGCGGCTATGGATGTAGGTGAGGTCAACACCCTGGTACACTGCTGCTGCTACCGCTAAAGAACTCACTACAACGGCAAAGAAACCTGGAAGGGTACAGACGGGTAAATACAGATGGACAGAGGAACGATGAAATGCAGAAGACAAAAAAAAAAAAAACAGTTTGAAATGCAATTAAAAAACTACAAAGAAAGGAAGTTGAAAATAATATATCTAACATGTAAAAAATGACAGCAAATGCATTGTCCCTTAATGACCCATAATCAATACTCTAAGCCTGTAGTGATAATATAAAGGAGCTGGTTGCACCATTCAGAGCATATCTTTGAGTCAGTGTCTGGGACGGGATTGTCTGCACATGATTGTCAACATGGAAGTGGCTGAGCCTGCAACTAGCAGCTAACGGTGCTAACTCAGTAAGTAGCGCTAACAACGGCAACATTGCTGACAGAGTGCTATGATGGGCTCTGCGCTTCTGCAACAACGCCATCCTGATGTTAGTGGTAACCACCGTATGAGCACAGTTCAAAGTGGCAACGAGCTAGCCAGCGGGACACTCTCACATGCACTAACATGCACGTGCGGCCAGCGCCACTACCACAAAAACCCAAAGAGAAGCTCAGATTACAATACACACAGAGAGGTAGTGTGACTTCATTCTGTGGTCAGGATGACATAACTCCATCATATCTTTACATAGAAGTATTTTTCGCTATATTAATCCTCTGAATGTTGCACACAGAACCTTTAAAGTAATCAGTGAGCCAGCACGTCAAGATTAGTCGTCAGAGTTTGTGAGTGGTAGTAAAAACATAAATTAATTCATTAAATTGAGGCTTGTGTGCTGTTTTAATGTAGTTGAGTTGGAGACAGAGCCTTACCATTGGTTCTGTACTTCAGCCTCTCCCCGGACCTCAGTGGCATGCCTTCACTCAGCTACAGAGAGAAACACAAACAACTGGGATTAACAGCTGACCAAGAGCACATTTTAGTAACTAACTCACAATTAAACACATGAACGCTAAAGCCTACAGACCTACTTGCTAGTGGTAGTTTTAACCACAGTTGGTTTACAAATTTGCTTCTCTGCAGGGACGTAGCACAAAACTCTGAGCCTTATACATATGCAGTCTCTGTGGGCCCCCCAGCGTTCCTCTCTGGATCCCTATCTTTTTAATTATCTACTAAGTTTGCTTTCTTTTCCTTTCCTTTTTTTTCTTTTCTGGGACCCCAATTTCCCAATCTTAGGGGGAAAAAATGACAGTGTACATTGGTGCACTTGAGGCATAAGAAGTCACTCACTAGGCTCTGCCTTTAAAGGAGCTATATGTAAGAAATCTAAAGCAAACAGTCGTAACAACAACAGTACAGACAGAATATTCCCATTTAAAAAACATTTTTACAGTCCGCAAATCATGTTTATGTTTTGAATTTGTGTTTTGGCCTGTTGCGCCACCCACCGCCTTCTACCAGTCACACAGTCAGTAGAGTCTCAGCATCAGTTACAGTTACGACAGAGCTACAGCAGCACAGAAAGCAACATTAGCAGTGTTCCGATACATAGCATTAGCAGCCGGCTCCTCCTCAGCTGTATCCCGGCAGCAGTGTTAGCAGCAGAGAAGCCGGACTTGCTCGAACGGTCCACTGGAAAACCGAAAACCTGGCCCTGCCACGGCAGCCGTCCGTGGGTAAACAAATCAGTCTCCAGCGTGCTGCTGTCCAGCAACCTCAAATCTGTAGGCTGTCTGTCCGTCCGTCCGTCCGTCCGTCCGTCCGTAGCACGGGTTATGTGCGCCACTTCACCACCGACCCAGCAACTAACGCTCAAGCCGAACAGATCATTATGCTCAGACGGAACAAGTGCCAATTACGACCCCGATCACAGTACTCTTGCGGGGTTATGAGCTACGAACTCCCACTGATTAGCTGAACATGTATCGATCTTTTTTATGAAGTAAAGATCGTGTAGTCCCCAGATGTCGGAACGAGATGAGACGATAACTGCGTTCACCGTATGGCCTATAAGCACACACAAAAAATACAGCGGTCACCAAACATACAGATGATTTATTTGTGGGGTTTTGAATGAAGTGGAACGGCCGACAGCCGAAGAGGCTGTGATCCGGCTGTCCTTACGGATATTTTTATGATCATCATTCAACATGTAGAAAGAACGTGTAATCTATTGAGTCGATTTACATAGATAATTCACAATCATGAACCTAATCTGGATCTTAAACCTGCTAATTGCCAACTAATTTAACTAAATGTGTTATATTTTTAATATTTTGTCATGTTTAGATTACGTATTTCAAAGGCATCTGTGTATTGTGTACATAACAGAGCACAATACGAATTAAAATTGTAATTTCCAATAGTGAAAAGCAATATTTATGTGCTTTACTAAATTTACACAAGCACTACAAGTGGTCAGGAGCAGGAGTAGATTTTGTTAGTAGCTACAAAAAGATCGGAGCTACTAAAATATTGATGAATGCGGACATGCACGTAAATTTCCGTCTGCGAACAGTTTACACACAAATTCCTTCTGCTCACGTTTCATGAATGAGACCCATGTTTTTTTTTTTAGTTTTTGGTTAGATGCCTGAGATAAGGTCTGCGATTAACACAAGCTGAGGGGACTTTCGAGTTTTGTTCTACGACATAAAATACATCAGTATATACCCCACTTGTGAATTTTTAAGCTTTTAAAAATGGCATTTGCTCACAAGTGGAGAAATGAGGCTACAGAACATCATCAGGCCAAACACAGGGGGTCATGCAACCATGGTGTAGTCCGTTTATAACCCAAGGTTAGCTTTTTACTTCTAGCAATTGCAATTAGGCTTCAATAATCATAAAATCGGTGTTCATTTGTGAAGATTATCTTGCTGAACAAAATGTGAAAGTATCATAAAGTTTGTTTGCCACAGAGCTTATTTTGTGCAATAACCAAAATCCAATGGACAAAATCCCATTGGCTTTTTGATGTGGGAACCAGGGCTATGCTAACTTCCTTGTAGGCCGAAGGAGAAACGTCATCGTGAAAGATAATAAATCTCCTTTCATTACATTAGTAGTTAGGACTACTTGGACTGAAATATTGAACACAAAAAAGTAATGTTTCTAAGGTTTATCATTCAGGTGAGTAACCTCTGCTTAGAGGCAAAGATGGCCCAGGATGGGAAGAACAAGAACCTCTTCTTTACTGTGGAGCATCTCATTAACTGTTACCCCTGACCATTATTCCAATATCTGCCTCCTGCCAAAACCAATTGACTGCGCTGGTCCACATGTCAGCTGCTACCTTACCTACACTGTACTGGTTCAGTGAAGTAATGATGATGACTGAGGAGAAGGGAAACAGACTGCACAATTCTCAGTTCTTCTCTCTCACCTTCCCAACAGGCAGAATGTAGAGCAGGGCCTGGAATAAAATCCAGAGGACGACAAAGCCAAGAGCCTGGGCATCCAAGAAGTCTTCAAGAGGGGGAAGAGGAGGAGGGAAGTTAACCAGGCTGGGGTCATCCAGGTTGACTTGAAGTATCACAAAGAGAACCCAGGCTGGCAAGAAGAGCAGCCAGAAGTATGCTCCTAAAAAAAACGGAAAGACAGTTTGTAATCAGGTGCAGTTTACCTCAACGAGAATACTGCCTCCATGCAGACACACACTCACACAGAACAATTAAGTGACTGGTTTCACACTAACAACTGTCATGCTCCAATCATACAAGGGAGTCACACAGATACATTCATGTATGGCACATATAGTCAAGCCATCTCTGAAAATCTGTGCATAGTTTATGAGCACAAAACAACACATACTGCAAACTGCTGTGATAAAATGGCAGGTTTATACTACATCCTATCTTCACTTACACTGCTCAGATCCAGATAGGCTGTAAGCCAACTAGTTTTTCCTAGTGACTACCAACAACCAACTACATTAATATCCAGTATACTGGGTGACACAAAATGCACACACCTCTGCAATCCAATTACTTTCCTGTAATAAATTCTACATTTATCAAAAAGATTTACACAGTGAAATCTACCTATCTTCCCACCAAAGTCAAGCGGGGTGGAGGGGGAGACAGCAGGAGCTGCAGGAGGCTTGGCATCTTTCTCCTCCAGCTGCTCTTCTTTGGTCTCAGCTGGTTTGGCATCTCCATCATCCTTCCTGCGGCGCAGATTGTAACGGCCTAGGTTCATCACAGACTCTGCGTCTACCGTAGCTTTGGGCTTTTGAAGAAAGATTTTGGCTTATTAAAACATACAAAACAAATTAACAAATCACATTAAAAAGTAAAAAGACATGGGCTTGGAATTTCAACAAAGTTCTTGCACACCATAAGTCTTACTGACAGGAGCGGAAGATCAAAACTTCTTGACATGGAAAGAAAACAAATGATCCTGCACACTGTCATCACATTTACTCACTTTATTGGTGAGGTTTCAATTGTCAGACCTTCAACAAGGAAAGTTTCTAGAGACAAAACCATGTACATGTGCCTTGAAAACTGCAGTCATAAAGCCTCTCCTAAAGAAGAGCAGTCTTGATGCCACAGTACTGAACAACTACCGGCCCATTTCAAATCTGCCATTTTTAGGCAAAGTCCTTGAGAAAGTTGTTTACCAACAGCTAGTAAGCTGGACTTTCTCCTAATGAACAACTCCTTTGACGTTTTCCAGTCAGGTTTTAGACCCCATCACAGCACTGAGACCGCTCTTATTAAGGTGACAAATGACATCCGCCTGAACACTGACGCAGGCAAAGTCTCAGTTTTAGTCCTGCTAGATCTGAGTGCTGCTTTTGACACTGTCGATCATGAGATCCTTTCACAGAGACTAGAGGACTGGGTGGGCATCTCTGGCACTGCCCTAAATTGGATGAAGTCCTATCTAGAAGACAGGAAGTACTTTGTTGAAATTGATAACAGTGTCTCAGACCACATGGCCTTGACCTGTGGGGTGCCCCAAGGGTCAATCCTGGGACCCCTTCTGTACAATCTCTACATGCTGCCTTTAGGCCAGTTAATACAAAGTAATAATGTGTCCTACCACAATTATGCAGACGACACTCAGATCTATGTTTCACTGACAGCAGGTGAATATGGACCAGTGGATTCACTCTGTCACTGCATCCAACAGGTCAGTGTGTGGATGCAAAACAACTTTCTCCAGCTAAATTCAGACAAGACTGAAGTCATCGTATTTGGTCCACAGAAACAAAGAGAAAGTGTCAGCAGTCACCTCCAGTCTCTCTCTCTCTAAAACCTACAAATCAGGTTAGAAATCTCGCGGTAATAATGGACTCAGACTTGAACTTTAACAGCCACATCAAATCAATAACATCTGCAGCTTTTTACCATCTAAAAACATTGCCAAAATCAAAGGTATAGTGTCTAAACCTGACTTGGAGAGACTTATCCGTGCATTTGTCTCTAGTAGGTTAGACTACTGTAACGGCCTGCTCACTGGCCTCTCCAAACGGGCTGTAAGACAGCTGCAGTACATCCAGAATGCTCCTGCTCGGGTCCTGACCAGAACCAGGAAGTACGAGCACATTAGTCCTGTGCTCAGGTCTCTACACTGGCTTCCTGTGGCTCAGAGAATAGACTTTAAAGCAGCTCTGCTTGTGTACAAGTCTCTCCACGGCCTAGCACCAAAGTACATCTCTGACATGTTAGTGCCATATGAACCATCTCGGCCTCCTGCTGGTGCCCAGAGTCAGGACTAAACATGGGGAATCAGGGTTCTAGTTTTATGCAGCTAAAATCTGGAACAGTCTTTCTGAAGATGTGAGACAGGCCTCTACTCTGACAATGTTCAAATCTAGGCTCAAAACAGCTCTATTTCACTGTGCATATGACTGAAAGGATCTTATCTGCACTCTTCTCTTTTAAAGTTCATTTTATAATGATTATTTATGTTTTTATTTTGTATTGTGATTTTAATGCATTTTCTTGTTCTGTAAAGCACTTTGAATTACTTTGTGAACGAATTGTGCTCTACAAATAAACTTGCCTTGCATTACAGTGTAGGCCTTGTGTTTCAATTTTAATGTTATGTTGGGTTTTTTTTTAGTGAGGACAAGATTTGGGGTAAAATAAAAAAATCCATGTATGTTAATAATGTATGGTTTGTCCTTACTACATGTTAGATTGATGGACAGAAAAGGCTGCTCTCAGTGCTGCTAGTACACATTGTAGTTGAAAGCACTGCTATAGTACGGCAGAGATTCTTCTTTAATCTTACTATACAGACCTTTAATGGAGTTAAGCATTTGAATGCAGTTTCAATGCAATGCAGTTCAGGCTATTTTCAGGGTTACTGCACTGCATAGAGCACTATTTCAGAGGGTTCACTGTGTTTATTATACAACAATATGAAACATAAATAGTTTGTCTAACTGGTCTTCCAAATTATTGTAGAACTGAAACAATGACAAAGTCTGTAAGGTTCTAAAAAACTCTAGGTTTTACAGACAAAATATTTCTTTATAGACAAATTAAAAACACTAACGTAAACATGCTAAAGGCTTTTCTAGTGAATAAGATTCAATTTTAAAAATCTAAAATATGACCCAAACACCACAAATCTAATCTTGTAGTGAATTTCCCAAAGATTCCACCCTTATTAATTTACAGCTCTGAAACCCTCTGCTTCTCGTTAACTAAGTTTTTTTGTTTACGGTCAATCTGTTCATGAAGTAAGGCTTTACTTTCTCTGTTTAAAAAAAACATACTTTACAATGCTATGTCTGAGCTCCTTGTTTTCCTTAGAAAGCTTCTCACAGGGTAAAACTATCTAGGATTAAAGATTAGGTCACATAACCATACAGACTAAAAATGACTTTAGAGACTAGCCAGACTCAGGTTTGCAATCCTACTCAGGGATCTGATTTAGACAAAAACAAAACAACAGGAAAGGGGACAAAACTGGATTGAAATAACATGCAATACTGTTGGATTTTTTTTTTTTTTTTTTTTTTTAAATCATACACATCTACCACTCCACGCTTGGTTTGCATGACTCCGTGAAGCTGTCAGTACATTTTTAAAGGCAGACAAAGTAAAGAAGTGGCACATGTTGGTACACCATGTGACAGGCTAAATGAAGCTTGATCTTGTGAGGGGAGCCTCCCTCGGCTGGAAAACACACATACACACACGGCCCCCCAACGTGCATGCATCATGACATTCCTTTAGCTCTAACTTACCTCAAAGCCCATTCATTATTAGACAGCGAGTAGCGCCTGGAACATCGGTTGTTGTTTTTTTGTAATAGCGTCTATTTGGCAAAACTCATTTCAACTCAGAGACTCAACAGTAAAAAAAAGCTTGTGAGTAAAAAAAGTGGTACTGATGCTCTCTGAAACAACAGTCCAGAGACAGTGTGTGTGTGTACATGATTTTCACACACTTTACATTTCAGTTTCTGCACACTTTTTCTTGAGGGTATTTCATGACCATGGTCTGTATTTATCTGCACTGATGTTCACGTATGTACTGAGAGTAGCTGGGCAATGCAACTGTGCACCAGCAATTTATTTCTGAACCTTTTATTTAAATAAATATGGAACTTTATTCATACAGGGCAACAATTTTTAATTACAAAACAAAACTCACCTCATTTACTTTGTTAGCAGTGTTATTCTCCTCTTTTTGTTTCTCCTCTTTCTTTTCAAGCTTATTGTTGCTATTGTTCTCAGCTGCCTTTGTCTGTTGCTGCCCATCAAACAATGGAGGGAGATTGATGGAGATGAAGAGAGACAAAAAGGGCAAAAAAAAAAAGCAACGTGAGGAATAGGCAGAGGGAACGTGACGGTGTTATGGTCAAAATCCAGAATGACAAAGAAACAGAAACTGACACATCTCCCCACAATGACAAGGTACTGATGATTTAGGACATTTAACGATATACCAGATTTCTTTAAGACAACTGTGTTCCTTTTTTTTTAAAAATAAACACACAACTTAAATGAGTCAAATGAATGTTATTAATATACCCCAATTTCACAAAACACTAAATTGTCTCGGGGGCAACTTTAATTTAGTTATCAGTACTTGACCAAGACTTGTAACGGTGCCATCTCATTTACAGTGACACTTCCTTTTATCCACTTCATATTCAATTACTAAAATAAGCCATGAGGATGGTCTTTGCTTTTGTCATGTTCAGGTGTACTACTGTACTTAGGGTAGCACTGATTCTGTCTGTGCCATTTTGCACTGACTGCTTATCAAGGGTATTTATGCATTTCATGTACAGCGTACATGATCTTACATAGCTCTAAACCACAACAAACCCAGACTGTAATTTATAATGTGATTACTTAAAATCCCCTGGTAGAGCAAGTTAAAGAATAGGGAAGCCTTACAGAGCATTGTTATGTGGTAAGGCACCCAGATTGATTTCACCACTATTACACAAACTGTATCTACATGTGGTGAGCAAATTTAAAGAACTTCACTGAGAAAACAACCACAACCAAATGAAAATTTACCTCATAAGCCTCAACCCCGTGGAACTCTGCACTGTTTATGGGCTACTATTTCTTTAACTGATTACATCATTTTGATTTGGTTTGACCCCCCACTGCTTACAACACAGTCATGTAGGTATCAGAGGTGAACAGCATCTCTATTTATGTATTTAGTGCTTTATCTGAGTTACCTAATAACACTCTTTCAGACAATATCCTCCGATCCATCTCTTTCTGTACATAAGCTCCTCCAACATCACCAGTGCGACTGAGACTGAGAAGGTAGCCATGGCACTTACCAGGGGAGTGAGCACGACTTCTAGCGAATCCTTCAGCTTCGTATCCTTGCGGGACGAAGGTGCACTCTCTGTTATAGCTGCAGTAGCAACAGCCGCTGCCGTGCGGGAGGATGAGCGACGAGTGGTCCTTGCTGGGGAGCGCGACCGGCTGCGGCGACGGCCTGGTGATCGGGAGCGAGAGCGGGAGCGAGAACGGGCCTGGAAGCCCGCAGTACTCTGAGGGAAGACAGCAATTACAACAAAAGAGGAGATTAAGAATTGTTAATAATGGTTAACAACTGTACTTTGTTTTTATAGGTGAAACAGAGTGATATTTTTTAAAGTCAACCACATCCTGTGCTTGATATATTACATCTACATAATGCTGAAACTTTACACAGCAGGATCAATAAGTGGTTGTCTGAAAGGTGTGTGTCGTACAGTGGCATTCCTCTAAATTATTAAATAGTTTAGACATTTAAAAATAATAATACAATAAAATAAATGTAATGAAAACAATTTGTGCTTCAGCGCTGGGCAGTGTTCCAACACATGGGCTTTTTTCCAGCCATATGGCCTTGATGACAGGAAAACAACAATTTGTCATTCTTAAAAAAGAAACCTAATATTTTTCAAGACTAAAATGAGAACTACCTTTAACTGCTTGAGGAGAGAGTTTATGAGGTAGAGCAACATTTATCATGAAGGCCAGTAACAGCAGTATACTTTGGCTTAACTATCGTTAACACTGTAGATGTTAAGTCATAGAATGAGCTGACCATTTAAGCTTTAATTCCATCCTGGAGTCAGTGACAGAGAGGAGGATGAAGGACATCCTGGATGACCTTTCTCACCTTATCTACAACAAACTGTGGCAGATGGGCAGCTCATTTAGCCATGGGATCATCCCACCAAGGTGCAAGTCTTGAGGCACTCCTTCATATCCACTGCCATCAGACTGTACCGCAGCAGTTGAGACCACAGACTGTCCTATTCACTCTGACCAGCCAGCCAAAATCAAAAACACACACGCACACACCCACACACCCATTTCCCACAATATCTGGCGCACTCTCCCTTTTCATTGTCTCACTTGGATTTGATTGTCAAATACTCCACACTCATAATTACTATTAGTACTTTTATTATTCATGATATATAATACCATGTTCATACTATGTTTTATTATATTTTAAAGCCTGTGTCATATTACTGTACTACACTGTAAATTGTTACACTAAATCGATACATTTTACCTTATATTATAAACCATTTTATAACTCACACTATATTATACTATATATAATTCTGCTACACATAAACTGTTGTAGTTTATGGTATCAGGTTACTTTATATGTACACACCATACACTGCTGCTACTTACCAATGTACTATTTCATTTTGCCCGAGACAGTTTTGGCACTAATATTTGAAGTACAACTACTATATGTGTACTGCTTGCATTGTAATTGTGCATCTAATTTCTACTTTCATTCTGTTCTTATTTTTATTGTATATATTCTATTTATTTTTACTTTTCTTTATCTGTACTTAGAAGTTTTGCTGCAACACCCCAGTTTCCCCTCTGGAGATCAATAAAGGCTTATCTGATCTTATCTTTAGTCCCTATGGTACAAGCCTGTACTACTTTTATCGCTGACAACCTGGATAAAAAGATTACAATTTCACTGAAAAAAAAAGGTGGTTACACCAAGATACTACACCAACAGATGTTACATGAAACTGTGAAAAAGACAGAGTGAAGCTCAGTTTGTCAATCTCCTTGTGACTCGGGGGTTACCTTGATATCTTGCTCCTTGAGCTCCAGCTGAGTGCCATCCTTGTAGATGACCGTATAAAGCTGGGATTTGGTATCAAAGCCCAGCACCTTGACTTCATAATATAGGCTGCTGCCAGGCCAGCGGCCCATCACCAATTCCCCTCTCTGATACTTCACAGAAGGCATCCTCACTGACCTGAGAATGAATAAAAAAGACAAGAGATGGAGTGAGGGCAGAAATCAGTATAATGAGAGAAGAATGAAACAGAAGGAGAGTGAAAGAGGGAGGATAGTAAAAATAGGGGGGCAAAGACATCAGAGTAGTGAGGAGTTGTGAGAGAAAAGAGCAAGTAGAAAGGGAAACACTAAAGGAATGGAGATAAAAAGATAATTGTACTAGAATATGAATATATTTTTAAAGCCTTACATCTAAACAGTGGCTGGGTTTTAGATTTTTTTAAAGTAAAAAACAGAAGTCAAGAAGCCACATACATTTGGCATCGCATATTAATGTGATATTTACTTGTTTAATTAGAAAACTGTTAATGCAGTCAAACTTATTTTGCTGTTGGTGAGTACAGTAAAGGATAAATTGATACAATGCCATGCATTGTCAGTGCACCCAGCCACGTCTGTTTCCATACAGTCCACTGAAGCACAGCATGAGCTCAAACTTAAACAGTCTGCTTGAATCAAAACTGAAGTGGCATCTCAAAATCTCAATGGGCTCATTGTCACTCAAATTGCTTCAAAAGTTACATACTTGACATACTTTCTCTCCATCCACTACATTTACATACAGTGTCACTGCGGCTGGACAATAATACAGTATTATGATGCAATATCATTCCAAAGAGTCATATAATATGAAATACAAACAGGCAGTATAAACTGTTCTGTTGCCGCATTTAATCTTAATTTTTTTTTAACCTATTTTTTCTATCCATGTGTGTATCTATGTCTCTGTATGCATTGTGTTGTGTAAAAAGATACTGCTAAAAATAGTCACAGAGTAGAATAGTCTTACAAACAACAGATAAAGCAGCAGGCAAAGCAATGCACAAAACAGCAATTATGCAATTTATCATGTGATTGTACTTAGCAGATGTTATTCAAAAACACACACAGCCAAGGATTACAGCAAGCACAGAAGACCTCGCTTTGAGCTCTAAGAGCTAAAACATGAACTGAAGAAGGTGAGAAAAATCAAGTCCCCACTACTATAACATCACCAGAGAGGAGAGGCTGTGTATAGCCACTCCCCCAGGCATTTACTCTTCAAAATAATTAATGGAAAATTGTTTAACCCTAGGACAACATTAAAAAGCTCCAGCCACAGTTCAGACTAAAACCCCTTGGGGGAACCCCTGAACTACACAGGAAAAAAAAAAAACCTCACCCAAATCTGTGTTTCCGATTTAACTCTGTTTGCTTATGTGTGAAACTGACTTGGCAGATGCGCAGTGCAGCAAAGTGAGGTCATCTTTTCACTGAAAAAACACAGGTTCGACTCTATTTTTGTAAACCAACTGCTGGCTGCTCGATGTTTGTGATGAAGGTTCTTTAACTGTACACGCTTGAGCATTGTTCAGATCATTTGTTCTTACCATATGGAGGAGTAAAGTGACAATTTACTACAAAAAATAAAGATTTTCAAGTGAATTACTTTGGATACATTTAGAGCATGAATACAGACCATTTAAATCATTAATTTAGTATCAACTACCATCTTTGTTTATTCTGTCTTCAAGTTTAAATGGTGTATGTTTCTACACCTGATCAAATAATATATACCAGTAGGCTACATCCTTGGCTTACAGTTTACAACACCATCCAAACTGAGGGGCTGGACAACCTACACTAGCTAACACTTTAGAGTGGCAAAATCCGACTGTAGTGTGCACCGCTGGACACAATGAGGTAGGCCAGGCAAGGTCAGCATTATGGAACATTAGGGACCAGGGAGGCTCAGTGTCTAGAAAACCAACACACTACTGCAGAACTGCTGACAGGTCTGTCCCTGCTAGGTTTACCCAAAGCTGTCTGTCTGACAGAGTTGTGCCATTCAAGTCACAGCAGGCAAGGACTTTTAGACCAGCTACTGTACAAACGACAGGAAACTTAATCGTGGTGATTATAGCTGTTAAGGTTACCAAATCTAGCAGCCAGTTTGAAGGCAACCATAAAATCTAAAATGGTGATAGCAGCTGGTTAGTTTAATGACTAGACACCCATTGAGCTCTGTGGACAAACTGTATTTCATGCTGCAGAAGCCAACACCATCTGAAAAATAATCAAATGTAAAGGCAAACCATGCTGAGACATACTGTGTTAAACACATCTCATTCAAAAAAAGCCCTATATTAACTGAGACAAATGGAAGCATCTGAATGTTTCTGTTACTCTAAATCTCTTCTCCATGTCACTTTGCCACTGACAGCACAAGAACACAGAGGAAGCATTGTAATATGTAAGAAATGTTTGATTAGTATCACCTTAACAAGTTCACTAAACTACTGGAAGGAAAGAAATCTCTGACTTAAAGACATTTAAAACAACTTTGGTTTCAGCAAAGCAAATTTAGGTCTTTACCCCCAGCTCTCTCATGGTGACAATTTTAGCCACATACCCTAATGACAGCCTCCTGTCAGTAGTCTTACTAATTAAAATTCCAAGGGTTAACACAGCTCCCTGCTTCAGTAAGTGGCAGATAGCATATAGAAACTGCTTTGAAGTCTGGATTAGTTGTTCAGATTGTGCTTTTACCCCTTAATTACTATGATACAAATGATATACCCATCAAAGAATCCCTTCATGTTGAACTTGATAAGAAGAGCTGATTGTTGATGACCAAACCACTCTGTCATACAGTCAAACTTATAAAAACATAATAACTCCAACAGTCCACTGAGAAGTTGGCTCACCAGGATTACTACAAACAGGCAGGGAGAGTCAAATATGCCCTATATCCAGCCCTAATCCACTGGTAACTGATCTAATCTCGTAAAACACAAAAATCCACAACATCTGAATGAAAACCATCTCAATATGACACACCCAAAGTAAGTCCCTGCGCTGCTCTCCTGGCTCGCCTGCCGAGTTCCATATGGGATGTGGAAGTCTGGGCTGAACCGTGACTGATGAGAGTTTCCCATCAGATCTCAGGCTGGGCTGATGAAAGAATACGGGCTCTACCGTAGGTGGAGTTTTAAACAGAAGTCACACACATCCCCCCTTTGTGTAGAGAAACTGCTGTTTAGCTCCACCTGGTATGCAGCCCCCTTTGAAATGAATGAAGTTGTAAACACCCACCAAAAAGGCGATACCCTGTTGTGTTAACACTGCAGTGCTGTATTAGTTAAGTTTAATTTTCTTGTGGAAGGATACATCTGAGTAATTTCCTTTGATGCGAAAAAGAAATAACGCATGTAACACTGCAACACTAACTTTACTCCCTATCCTTCATTAATGCGCCATCGAATGTCAGATTAATATACTGTCAGGTGGCAAGATTAACGATCGCTAGTTCACAGTAGAATGTATTGTTAGAGGAAATTATTTAAAAGACTATCTAAAGTAAACTATTTATCACAATGACACAAAGCAACAGATGTAAACTACTCTTTAAAAAAATCAATTAATTAAGTTAACAGAAAATATTTGCTCTTCCAACCCTTGACATCTGGGTTTAATCTGGCATTGTCTCCTGCGCAATTTCCATAGCGTTATGATTTGTGATTCTACATGCGGAAATTACGATTGATTTGTGGGACTTTTATACATTTATTTCGTTAATTTTCCCGAATTATTTCCCCCGGTGGTCCATACAGTCAACATATTTTACGGCTGGACACACGAATGCGATCTTGGCTTGTCTATTAGTGTATTAGTGAGATATATTCTTTATGCCACAGCTAAATGCTGATCTATGGGAGCTGTTTCTTTAACGAAGTACGCCTAACGCTAGCTTTGTTAGTTTAAAGATAGCCCTAATGCAGCTGCAAGCAGCAGAAAGAAAGGAGGGAAAACGTCATGCATTCAAATACTGCTGGCGAAGAAAACAAACGCATCAGCCAAACTATCAACCCGCAAGCACATGTGAATAAGTTTGGCACAGCTGAATTAAGTGACGTATCCCAGCAAAACACTTAAAAAATTTCATGCGCAAGCAATCACAAAGTTGACCGGGCTAATGTTAGCGTTACAATCTAATAAAGGTTGTCTTTGGCTGAGCAGGCGCGGTCTAATTTCTGGCAATCGAATGGGTGCGTACCGTTAATCTGGAGGTTAACTTCAGCGTCCGTAACGGCACTGTTAACGTCACAGTGCTGTTGGCCAGAACTAGCAAACAATTTTAATAAAACTATGAGCCACTAAGGGGAAAGGTTGGCAGTTTATATACAACCTAACAGTTCCTAAAGTACTTTTATGAGCACAAGTGGAAACAAGTCAAGGCTCCAGGAAATAGTCGGAGCCTACTCACCGAGCGCCGTTATACAGCCAGCTTGAGTTAGCTTCGGCTAAGACCTAATTTCCCAACAAAGAAACCAAAAGCGATTTGCTATTTTGCATCACAAGCATATGGGTTGGACGGATACACTTACCTTGATAATACGCGAGTCGTCTCAGTGAGTGAAACTGATAAAATAGTCCTTGACGAGACGAGGAATTAATAAATTAAGATTTATATTTTAAAAACTGACGGTGCTAGCGTTTGACGTAGCGCTCCTTCTCCCTCCCTCTCTGGGCAAAACCCACCAGTGACTAGGAAGGCGCGAAGGCTGCTGATTGGCTTATTCAGCGTTCATTTCAAACAGCTCTGTCATCTGATTGGTTGGCGGTGGATTTTAAATGACTTGGGATTGGCTGAAAGGGAGTCACGACTACTTTGTTTACTGGTGTCAAATTTCCGTCCGACAAAATGGTAGAAGTGGCAAATGGATACCTCATAATAAACCTTGTATCTATAAATGGCAGAAACACCTGTTGCTTCATAATAAGCCTAATTTAATAAAATATTACCAACACTAAAACAGAGGCTATAATGGAAAATAATTTGTCAGGAAATTAACATAATAATGTAAGATAATAATTACCACTATACTTAAAAATGTCGCCTGCTATTACAATACCAAGAGCAAGAATCTTGGTGAAACTGAGTGGACATCAAATTTGGCCTGTTAACATCCATTCTCACATTTTATGCTCAAGGCAAAAGTGATTTTCTGTGTGTAATAAAAATTGAAGAAATTGTATGTTTTCCATTTTCTGTCAGGGAAGCTGTTATCATGCTGCGCTACTGGAAAAATCAAGCTCCACAGACAGGTGTATTAAATCAATTGGAAGGGTCAGTATTGTCATAGACTGCACTGTTGCACTGTGTTCAGATGTGATGCAGAACTTAGTGCATTCATTAAAACATTTACTACACATTAAAGAAGATGCTCAAGCATATTACTAAAATTATGTTACATAGTAAACACATATCTGTCCCCATATTTCTGGTATCATGAGGAAACCATAAAAAAGAAACTTTTCAAGGATTAATTGAACTGATAATCTGCAATGCTATAGCATCTCTGTAGTAAAGTGCACCATCAGATGAAAGTGATTGCATCAAACCACCTTCAGCAAGTGAACCAAGTCACTAGAACGTAACCTTTAAGTAGCCTAGAGAAGAGTCAGTAAACGCTGCACGCCTTGTCTAATATAAGCAAATGCTTATGGGTGACCTGAGTGTTTTGACACCTGCTGCTCAAACCCTAAACTCATAAACACAATAAGAGGAGGAAAACTGATTTTGAAAATTCAAACTCTCCAATCCAATTACAGCATCAACCTTCTCTCAGCTTCCTCATCTCGGTCTCTCTCTCTCTCTCTCTTTCTCTCTCCCTGCAGTTCAGAGTGTTTTCCTGTCTTAGTGCAGCTGTCGCCACAGTGCAGCCCTTCTCAGGCTGCAAGTCAAACAAAACCTCAAATGAACTGCAGATGCACTGCCAGACCTCCTTATGCCCCGCCCACAGGAAGCATTGGTGTAAGTGAAGCTACACAGAAACAGACAGGCAATAAAGTGCGGGAAGTCTCTTCAATCTTAGACACAGGCAAACCTGAAGTATGAGAATATTTGTGGCAACTGCAGTCTTTGGAGGTGTCAGCCAAAAGGTATAAATTAATACATAAATACGCACACTGGCTGATGGTAAATGATATTGAAGAAAAGTCATAAGCCGTCACTGTGTCTTTTAAAAAAACTCTGTCTCAGAAAAAAAACTGTATTTGGTGCTTTCAACATTTCCTTTTGCTTTTTTCCACATCTCTCCATCTCTCTCTTGACCAGCTCCTGTTTCTCTCATGTCATACATCAGCGACCCCAGCAAGTGACCCAAGTTTTCTGAGAAACATTCAGTGGACAGCTGAGTTTGAACTAAAGGATCTGCAAGTAGTTACACAAAAAGCAAGGGATCCACAAAAATAGCTGTGCAGGAGTGGGAGGGTCAGTACAAAATCCTGTGAGTATATTCCTTGTGGCTGAGTACACTGGAAGTGCAAACCATAAGTTAGCAGTACTGTAAATTCAAATCTTGGTCTTGACCCCAGTCCTGTCCTCCTTTCACCCTCCAGCAAGGCAGCAGCAGTTTGGCTCAGCTCACTGAGAGGACATACAATAAGGAAGGACTGCAGAAAGACACCATGCATCATCAGTCACGCTTACAGATAAAAAACGTTGCATGCACTCATCTTCCTCTTCCTGTTCTCTGCTGAGCGTGAGCGTAAGGCGCTGTCAAACATGCTGTCAGAGTCACTGGGCTGGGGAACAGAGGCCGACCTGGTGTACTGACAGATGAGGGCACACCAGGAGGGATTAAGGTCTGCAGGGAATTCAAAGTCAAGATTTACCTGAAGTGACACATTGTACCATTTGAAAGAAGAATTAACACAATTTTCCTCTTGGAAATTAAAAGTTGGGCTTATAAGCAATACAACTTTACCCTTTATTGCACAATTGAATTCACCCAGGGGTTTTGCTGCTACAGCCTTACTTTGACTGGTATGACAAGTAGCTTATAATGGCTGATGTTAGCTAAAGTTAGCGAACTATAAATAGATATTTCTGTGTAACTGATATTAACTGTGTAACTGAGTCACTTCACTGACTTAAAGGAGCACTGCATGCCCCGAATGACTGTTTGCATATCAGTAACTCACCCCATGTTATGCTGAATTCATTAAGAAAACTTTATCTTGCATGCCTCCATGGTGAACGAAGAATGCAAAAACAACAAGCATTCTTCACAAACTGAAGTAAAGGGAGACCATGTTTGACAACAGCAAAAAGATATGAAAACAACTGTTAAACTCTCATACGACTAGTGCAATATAATCCATGTCTCATTTACGTAGTCGTACACTCAGTAATTCCCAATCAGACAGCCCTTTCTGATGGGTACTGAAATACAAGTGAAATGTATCTATGCTCTCTTCATGGCCATGACTCCATTTACAAAAAAAGTAATTTTATCGCAGAATGGAGGAGCTGCTGGTCTACCACTGACTCATTTAATTTGTTTATGGTATTGTGTGACTTTTTGTCAATCTGAACTGACTCTTTAAAACACAAAGGTTATACAATAACACAGACTGATCAAGGCAGTGGTAGACCAGCAGTTCCCATGTTCAGCGAGGTAAAATTACTGTTGTTATCAGTGGAGTCTGGATTTGAAGAGACCATAGGACCCAGACACACCAAACTGACTTCAGAGAACTAGCAGCGATGAAAGCCCCCCTGCTGCATCCCCTGGCGTTGCTGTGTCTCAGCCAAAAAGTTGCACATGAACACACCATAAAGACTTCAGCCGATAGACGACCAGCACCTACATTCTGCACTTGCAGGAGAGGAAATAATTCTCCACACCAGTAGACGGTGGTCGTCTGAAATCGTCATTCAAAACTGGAAGCCGGGAGACCGTCTTGACGCTAGTTAGCACATTGACAACACAATCCAACGTTGAAAGAACAAAGTGTGTTTTCAGCATGCAAGTGAACAATAACACAAATCATCAGGAAAAGTTTCTGCTAAAGAGCTTGTGGTTAAAGAAAATAATCTTAACTCATGAAACAAGTTTGTTTTGGTCTCACTCCCCCTTGACTTTTGCTCTTTGTTTACTTTTCTCACTTCTGTTTCTGTTCTTGTGCGCTAAGCTGAACTACAGATCAGTGATTTCATTCACTGACGAGCTCCACAGTCGTCGACACTGATTTCACATGCTAATTCAGCGAAATAAAGCCAACTAGGGCCAACGGTGCAGGACACACTGCAGCACCAAGGGCCACAGATGCTCACTGACAGCCCAACATTAACCAACAGCTGACTGTTGGCTTAGTGTGTCAGAGCTTATAGACCAGGTTTTACTTTCCCCTCAGATCCCTGGATAAATGAGACTTATGCTGTAAAAGTTGTGTGAGAGTTTGTAAATGGATGTTTTGGTATAGTTTTGCTGTTGTTAAAAGCCAACCCCATGACTTTAATTCATCAAAAATCTTCTCAGTTTTTGGATTCTTTGTTCACCATGGAGGCATGCGAGAAAAACTGTTTTTTTGTTTTTTTTGTTTTTTTTTCACAAATTCAACTTAACAACACATAACATCATAACACAGATTATCATTTTTTGGGTGAGGTATTCCTTTAAAGAGTTAGTAAATTATAAAGTAACTATGGAGCTCTCACCTGGAGTTTGAAGAGAAAACATTGGCAAAAATGTTGTGATGTTAAATGCTATGATGGCAACAAAGAGGCATTCTATGTTTGATATTTATTATAAAAGTCTGCAAAATAAGATGAGGCCAACACAAGTAAAGCTGAAAAACCCTATTCAAGGTTCATAACTGTGAACATCATTTTAAAAGAAACAACTTCTAGTCTTGTATTGCAATTTTTATTTAATTTGCTCAAACAAAACAATATGTTAGCATGTAAGAAAAGACTAATTAACATGAGAACAGTATGGTACAATGCAGATGATAAAAGAATAAATCTGGAAACCCATCCATTAAAACTTGCTTCAGCCAAATTCATCCCTGCAAATTCACAATTCTCTCGGTTCCCTCGGCAGAAAACTGGGTTTACGGACAAAGAGAAATGTTTCCATCAGCAATCTGACATCAATGTGGAGCAGACCTTACTGCAGAGGACAAAACACATTTCCAAGTGTGTAAAGAAAGCTAAGCTGCTGAACACACGCAGTTTCTGTGACATTTAAACGGTATCACAGAACACTGCAGTCAGACTCATCTGGACTTTATGTTTAGAAAAATTATCTCAGAGCGAAGATCATCTTTTAACTCTTCCAGGCCTCATGTCTCAAAGGCTTGATTGTACTTCAGAGCTGTTAGAAAAGCAACCTCACAACTGTGTGGAAATAAACACATGTATGTAAAAAAAACAAACATAGGAGATCTTGGTGCAAAGATGTTTTCTTGGTGGGGAACAGTAAAAAGGTCATAAAACTCTCCCTTCAAATCAACATGACCATGATGGAAAAAAAAGCCAAACTAAATAACAACTGCATGTGATCATAATGACAGTCCCTAGATATTATTACTAGTCATCTTTATATCTTTGACATATTAAATGCAACTTCGGAACAAGGCACAAACTACATAGCTTCACAAAGAGATAAACTTTTACTTGATCCAAACATTTCACCCTCCATCCTGTCCAAAGGACTGAACATAGAGACAGACATCTTTCTTTTTGTTAGATCTCTCCACAAAATGATACAAAAATAAGAAAGGCGACTTTGTTGAGAGTGATTACGTTTAGCAAGAGACTGCCGAGTTGAATCCTTTGGTGAGAAAGCCACACTGTTGGTGACCGAGGCTCTGTTGTCAGAGTACGTTGGATTGCTCTGCGGGTTTTTGTCTTAAAGTGCAATTGATGCTGTGTAAACACTCAGTACAGGGAGCCTCTTGGCTGGGTGTTTCCATTAGAAAAAAATGTGGATGAGAAGATGAAACAACTCCACAGAGAGATCATGAAACAGACCTGACCCTAGTTAACCCATTCATTTTTCTAGTCACAGTATTTTTAACAAATTTGAGCCAATCTGAAGCAAATGAGAGAAAAGCGGAGGGAGCACACATTTTTACTCAAATCTGTGACTTCTCATCTTCAAACATCCAAGCCCTTGAACACAGAGTTGTGTAGTATGAGATCCAACAGCCACAGACAGCCAACGATTAACCAACCTTTGTCTAGGATTCTGGGGTACATGCAAGACATCATAACTCCTTAGCTGCTTCTCCTGATCTGAATTTCAAGGGGCACTCTGACAATGTTGTACACTAGGATCAGTTCAGTCATGAGGAAATCTACTCAGCATGAGAAAACAGTTGTACAGTGTCTTCTAGAAAGGTGATGATGTCACCAGGGTTATTGACAGGGAGAAAACAAAATTTTAACAAAGATTTAGTGTTACAAACAGAGTGTGGTGTTTCAGCAGCCCAGTTGTCAGAATAAAATGTTGGCATTGTACGTTTCTGCAAACCACAGACATGTTACATTTGTACATTTCACATGTATCACAGTAACATCTCTAAATTGACATACTTCAGATTACATGTATATGAGCTGACTTTGTCATCAGGAGGAGGAGGGGAGAGTGGATGGCATGACACCTTGGGGAGATACCTAGGTGAGACAATTGCCAAGCAGCAGAAAGCAGCACACCACTGTTAAAGACCAACAAAGCCGGGTATTTTTAACAAGACGTCTGGATATTTCCAGCCACGTTTGTGGCAAAAAATCCTGGTAATCTTAATGAGACTTCGGGACATTTCCAGCTGATGTCAGGATAGTCAGGATAGTTCCAGCTGTGTTTGTGGTGGCAAAACAGAATATTTTTTAACTAAATGATCAGACATTTCTACCTGTGACTGTGGCTACAAAACCTGGTATCCCATAACTAGATGTTAGGATAGTTCCAGCTGTATTTGTTGCAACAAAACCAGGTA